TTAAAGTGCAAACTATCAGTACAAAATAGCACCAAAGAAAAAAAAAAAAAAAAAAAAAAAAAAAAAACCAATGAATTTTGTGGTTTATTTTCTTTGTCACGATAGCTATTAGCGGTTGGAAGTCACGTAATAAAAGTCACGATATTTTGCGTGACGTGACATCCCGGATATATTCATTTGAATTTGAACGCACATCTATATATATATATATATATCAGTTTCGATTTCATACTTCAAATTTTCAATATTATTTTGGTGATAAATTATTATATTTTTCAATTGTTGTGGATTAAATCATCCTTTCTTTTAAGGGAAAATCTATGCTAATTCATAATTGTAGGACTCTATTACTTTGGATGTTTTTTTGCATTATACAGAAATCTCCTAAACGTTTACGGATTATGGCTCAAAATGCCGGATATTTGAGCTTAATTTTCAAGAGGATCAAATAGCTGTGCCCATATCTCTAATTGATACAAACAAATTCAAAAACAGGATGGATAAATCAAGGAATAAACGAAAAATAAAAAATAAAAAAACCTAATCAGATTTTATTTTTTTTGAAGTAATTTTATATACTCAGATATTGGGTGTCTGTTTTGAAGTTAAAGCATTGTTCTCTAATAATAGGATTATATGAAACGTCAGAAAAACGACGAAAAAAGCCGAATGTGAAAGTAAAAAAATATTTTAGAAAAATTCCGAAAGTCAACGACTCCAGGGACCAATATCTATGGAGGGCAGAAAGGAGGCACGTTTTTTTAGCCCCACTCTTGGTACTTGTCCAAGTATTTGATGACACTCCCCCTACCCCTACCCCCTTGAGATTAGTAATATCAATGGAACCGGAAATTCAAGGCAGCATTTCGATTCTGATTCAAGACTGTTTTATTGATTTTGGTTTTCTTCCAATTTTCGCAAATCTTTACAATTGTAATTTCCCCCCGGACTTGTTTTGCACTAAGAAGGGCAATTCCTGCCCCGTATATGCTGTTTTGTATTTAAATCGGCAAATATTCGCTTCTTACTGGTCTTATCACTCTCTCTAGGAACTAAAATAACGTCATCTTTATAAGTAAAATACATCAGAAGAGTTTGCTAATCCAGGCGCAAATGATGAAAAAATTATTACATGTAATGATCTGGTTTGAGTCATCAGTACAGTGTGTTAAAATTTAAAGTCTGCCCAAAACGAACTTGCTAGAGTGAATGACTCACACCATAGTTAATTTAGTGCCACAGTTCTTCAATATTAACTTCAATTTTTTTCCTTCATTTTCATCCTTGTGAATTTCTGAATTGAGAAGAAAAGTTCGCGAGCCGAAAAACGCGGTTTTATCAAAGTGCCGCGGCTCAAAACCGGCATTTTTGTGTATATCTGGCAACGAGGGAGCCCTCATGCATAAAGCTTAATCATAAGCGGCTTTGAACAAGAAAAAATCTGGCGAGGAATGACGAGAAATGATCAGAAGATTTTGCGCTTATTTTTTGAAATCCTAAACTAAAAAGATAGTGACTATACAACCACTTTAATTCTAAAAATCTCATCCGCTTCCCGAAATTTTAGGTTCAAGAAAAATCTAAAGAAAATTCAATAATTTTGCTCGAGTTGTTTCGATTCGCGCCGTAATCTTTTAAAACAAAGGTATTCGTCGCTGTCATAGCAAGAAAACGCATATGATTCAGAGGTATTTTTTTCGTAAGGTTTGAAATATGTTCTTTTGTTTTAGTCCGTCCCCCGCAAGAAAAAAGTGATTATTCATTTCGAGATGAGATCACCCGAACTACTTTAATTATGCGTACATTTGTTAATGAGATGTAAAATTTACATTAGTCGAAGAAGATGGGGTGGGGTTGTGGTAGAGATGTCATGCGATCCATCATATCTTTCATCGAACTACACGCTCTGGTAGTCACGACAATTCAATCAAACGTCCAGAGGTTCTTTGCTGTTTAAATCTTAACTGTAAATTTATTGGTTTTTTTGTAGGGAGGTTAGCGCACTTGAAAGGGTTTTCGTTGAATGAATTTTTGGGTATTTGAAGCCGTGGTTTTTGAATCATTCTCAAAGTCTTGGTAAGCTCTCAAAGTAGTAACCTGTCCTTATATGGATTAGCCCCCTGGTTGTTGTTATCGCTAACGACCAATCAGCTTGAAGACCGCGTTTTCTTAGCCAATCATATCATACCTGACTCATGGATCAAAATTCGCAGTAACCGATTCATTCAGTGGCTCAGGTTGTTCCTTATAGATTGCATGTTGGAAAAAATTTTTATCAAGCTAAAATTCTGCCAACATGTATAGCACGTACCAAACATCGTATTTTGATGTCCCCGATTCTTTGTCGCTACAAGAAATGATGGAGTGTGATATACGAGAGATGGATTTAAACTTCAACGATCCTTTATTCCAAGAACAGAATCTCTTTACTTCACCCGATACTCAAAGGGTAATGAAACAGGAGCGAAGGGGAGATTGTATAAGTCCTGGTGATCTCACGAATCTGCAGTGGCTACAGAATGTATCGATTCCAATGGAGAAAAATCCAAACAGCCATGATAAGCAAGTTATGGTGGATCCAAACACTGTCATGCCAGTCCAATGGCAGAATCCCCAACAGACTAACGCCATAGCTGTCACATCGATTCCCAACATGAACACTACTACGTATCCCCTCTCTCAGCAAACCCACCAGAATGTGGGGCTTACACGTGTGACAGAATCCAAGCAACGATCTCAGGACTGCAAGGTCTCGAGCAAAGAAAATACTAAACCAAACGAGAAAGCGTATCCGAAACCCTTGTTCTCTTACTCTTGTCTGATCGCTATGGCACTACAGAACAGCGATGCGGGAACTTTGCCAGTCAGTGAAATCTACAAGTTCATGATGTAAGTTTCCTAACTGTGTTGTACTTCTTACTTATTTGATTTGACTGGAATGCATTCTATTTCCTTGATAGGGGGAAGTTTCCATACTTCAAGACTGCACCGGACGGATGGAAGGTAAAGAAAAAAGTTGCTAATTCTATCAAAGAATTCAAGGAACAATCTTTCTCGTAGGTCCCGGGGTTCGACTAGAATTTTGAATTTAAATTTCACGCTACGAGTAACGGTTGGTTTCGCTCGACGAGTTCCGTCTTCCAAGATTCAACTTATCTTGCGAGTATTTCAACATCGGGTCCAGAAATATCCTTAAATGAATAGAAAAATTTAAAGATTTGAGGTCGTTTTCGAATACTGCACTTTAACGGTTTCCAGCAATGTTGGTTTGCCGGATCCGTTTGCAGCTGAATGGTTTTCCTCAACAAACAAAGGGGTTCCCAACAGCTGACATGGGCAACCCCTTTCGATGTTCTAGATTCTAAAAACTCCATTCAACTTCCTCATTTTTCTAGGTTTTTACGTTATCTCGGAAATAAGGAATTTCAATCATAATCTACTCACTATGCCAGTAGTTTCTTGAGTATTGAATTTAAATTTTTGTGGTAACACTCGATGTAAATTTTCATCTTTCGGGAAGTCACACGATGAATTATTTTTTTTCCTAGAAAACCTAGATTTTGAAGAAAGAATTTCAGTAAGCTCAAATATCATTTCCTCGTAGCCACAGGCTCGAGAATATTGAATTTACAAGTGTTTTGAGCCACAAACTGCTTTTGTACTCATCCAACCGTCAAAATCGCCCACAACTGATGTTTTCAGTACAAGGAATTTTTTACTATTTTGCATACCCAAACAAAGCAATACACGACCAAAAGAGGAACGAATTCTTCAAAAAGAAAGCATCCTCTTCAACTAAAGTTTCCTATAATTATTTATCTACCTTCTAAGTTCAGACTTACACCCAAGAATATAACATTTAAAAAAATGATTCGAATTTTCTAGTAAATAGTCCTAATGTAAAATTATTTCTTGCGATAAAGATACGAAGAACTTTCGAGGAAATAGGTGTTATAACTTTTTTTCAGGAAGATATTATAGCATCTATAGTTTCAATAAGCTGCTTTATTATGAAGCAGAAAATTTTTTTTCAGATCTAGATAGAAAAAATAGAATTCTTTGTACTTGGTATCGAGGATACAACAACAAAACCCCACCCCTTGGTTTTTGGACAAATGTCCACTCCGAAATAACTCGAATAATTTCTTGAAAATTTAGGACAAAAAGAAATATAGAATCTGAAGATACATGAGGATGAAGTTATGAATTTCTGAGTGTTTTTATTAGGATTTTTTTTCGATTTTTTCGAGAATTTTTGTAGGCAGGAAAGGACATACAACAGGTGGTTCTAAGATCTTAAATATTAACAACATTGTTGAAAATTGAGGTTTTGCGAATTGAACAGAAAATCTATACCTAAAGTGCTCCCAGATATTTTTGCTTTTCCTAAACTTACTTACATTTCAACTAGTTCAAATTTAAGAAATGTTTTCTAAACTGTATTAGGATTTTCCACTCAATCTTACTTGAATAAAATATGCTCATTATAAAATACAGATTCTCATTAAACTTTGCATTCATTATTCAAATGTTGGCAATAATTTTTATCCTGTTTTTCTTTGGTTTCCTCATAGAATTAACGTCCCTTTATAATTCAATGTTATTACCAAATATCAGGAAATCTCTCCACATGTGGAAATGGATATTATTATTTTTACAATTTAAAATAATTGAAAACTGAAAAAATACATTATTTGAAAGCCTTGATTTGTGTTTCAAAAAAGATCTTTTCCTGAAAAAAAAATTTCTTACTTGTAAAGTATTTTTATATGATTTAGAACGAAAGTTTTTGGATAAATTTTGTCCTTATATTATGACAAGAAAATAAAAAATAACGAAACACAAAGAAATGATAGTAATTTATCTTGATATGACAGGAAATGTATAGGACAAAAGTACAATATGTTAATACATTTACATTTTTATATCTTCTGCAAAACGATTTTTTTAAATTGTTACCTTGTCTCAGAATTCCAAATCATACAGTAAAATACTAATTTTCAAAAAAATTTATCCAATTTTTTACCTCGACCCCTAGATTCACGAAACAGCTGAAATACGAATTTGGAATTGTGAATTTTTTTTTGTTAAGATATATCATATTTCTCCTTTTATTTGAATAGTTGAGCAAAAAATCTAAAATCTATCTTTATACATTTGATCCAAAATGTTTCAATACCATTCTTACTTTCATAAAGGACTAGTACAAAGGATATATTTTCTTTTTTTTATTCATTTCATATTCAAATGTCCTTAGCAATAAATATTTAATTAAAGAATAAGAAACCACACCCTAATAGCCTTGATTTGAAGTACAGGAATCAAGAACTAGACACATTTGTATTTCAAACTTAATCATTTTTGTTGGACATCATATTTTGATTGAGAGTAGGGCAACTACACATCTAAGAACTATAACTCATTGTTGTTGTAGTAGGAGCGAGGTTTTGGAAGTAATTTTAGTGCAAGTATTGTAAGATTTTAATTTGAGTAGAATGGTAGTCATAACAATCCGAAAATACTTGGGTATAAAGGCATAATATAAATGTTTGGTCCTATCCGTTGATCGTGTTGGTAGTTCAAACTATATAATTCAAATTGTAAATGAAGGCTTTTCTTTTTTTTTCTGTATATATTTTTTTGTTTATTGATTTGAATTCTAGTTCCAGTGTGAACTTTGATTTCAATAATTTTAAAAGCAATTTTTTCGTTCTTTTTTTGACAACGATGTATGCTTTGTAAAATTCACAGTGTTGGGGAGTGATTGAACATTAGCAATGAAAATATTAGTAATTTTATAGAGCTGAATAATTCATAAACAAATATCAAAAACATGAGTAATGTATATATGCTTGATTGAAATCAGGGTAAATTAATTTGCTAGGGTGGTTATTATAAATAATATAAATAAATAAATAACTCGATATCTAAGAGATATTAATAGAAATGATAAATAATAGATCAGTTGAACACAAAGATATACTTAACTCCTATTCGGAAAAGGCAAGAACACTTTAAAACTTCAGAAGTGTTATTGCCAAAATACCCTTGAAAATTCACATTGGGAATTAATTATTGGTTATGATAACAAGAAATAAAGTTAATGAAGAGATGAAGTCAGATTTTCTGGGATGGAATTAGAATTTGGAGGAAGGAACTGAATTCTTAGAGGTAATATTCTTTAATGAAAACAGTTTCTATAAATCACTGAACCTAGTAATATTATGGCTGACTGCTTAAGTACGGGTGTGCACTTATGGAGATTCAAACTCGAGTAAATCATGCTTATATATGCCAAATTAAAGCTATCATATCTGCAATTCACATTGATGTACTCTAAGTTCTAGCAGGGAGGGTTATAGTGAATAACATTAAGAATTGTTGGAAAACTACTTATTCTAATTAAAGTTAAATACGTGAAAGTGGGTTGGGGGCCAATTGGTAAACAAAGTTTTAGAAATGGGTGGTTCATGGTTGACTTAAATCAAGCCATGCAATAACCCAGATTTACTTATCTAAGTTCGATATACTATGTCTTAAATGTGATAAGGATTAAGTATGACTTAAGTAGGTTTTGATATTTGATCTCATTGCATATGCAACTCCCTTGAGGCATAATCATAGTGGAAAATTATTTTACATACTCCTGAAAATATATTGGAGTATTTTTTTACGCTTTGTTAGTTTTATGTATGCAGAAGCCAAAGTCTACCGGAAATCATGTTTAACTGTCTGGTTCATTTTATCATGAGAGGTTAATAAGTCTAATCATGTGATAGATAGATTTTATGTATGTACAGTAGTTAGAGATGGGAAAAATTACAGATCAGTTAAGTAATCTCTATGTCATTGATAAGGAATGTTTGTTGTCTTGGTTCAGTGAATTGCATGTTATGCATCAGTCTGTATCAGCTGTAACACTTCGCCGACCATTTAAAGACTTTAACCTTGGGATAGATGACTCATTCACCAATGCTCTTTTGTCTTTTCTAGATCAAAAACACACTATTGTGACTCATAATGCATAATTTTAATTCCTTTGCTATCAATTTTGCAGAATTCAGTTCGGCATAACTTGTCACTCAACAAAGCCTTCTGCAAGCTAGAGCGTCCACAAGGAGCTTCCCAGAGGAAAGGATGCCTGTGGTCACTACGGCCCGAGAGAAAAGAACAAATGGAAAAAGAGATAAAGAAATGGAAGAAAAAGCATGCTGAAGCTATTCGAGCAAGTATGGCAAATCCAGGTATTTAATGCAGAAAAGGCCACTGCTGCTCCCTGTGGGGGTGGTGTGAGGGGTATTCTCCCTGCTGGGCTTCTCAATGCAGTTGAGCCAGATTAATCTAGAATAATCAATCAACCAAACAAAAAGTTTTTAAAGGCGTGTTTATGCCAACATTAAAGAACTAGTTTTAAAACTTTTGGATCCAATTTACTTTGCACCTCTGTCTTGCTAACAGTACGTTAATACATAAACACTAAGGTAGTAACAACGTTAGCAGTACAGTTTAGATAATTTATCATGGAAGGGGAATATGTGTGGTAAAGTAATAAAGCTTGTAGATTTGCGGTTGTCAAGGCTCAATGGTTGAATGAACTTAATTGTGCAGTCTAACGTTTTGAAAAACAAATTTGCATTCAAATTGAATTTTAGCTTAAATAAAGCTCTAGATGTTTGGAATAGCTAATTATTCATCGAGTGTAAAATTAATGCTTTCAAATGCACTTGGAAGTATCTTTAACACACACCCATGCAGGGATATTCCCATTACGGAGTGAAAATATACACAAATTAACATTAATTACTTAATAATATTAAGAGTTTGAACCTTGGACTTTATGATATTATGTTCTTTTCTATATTAGGATTGGCAGCCTAGGGGGAGGGGGTGGGTAATGCTAGATGTTGATTTTGGAATTCTCTTTTTAAATTTTTAAATCTCATTAAAATCTTTTCCTCTCCCATTCTATCTACAATTTCATTTTATTAGGATTTAATTATTACTTCCTTCAGGCTAGAGTGCAAGCAATTAATCCATGAAGCACTAATTACTAAATAGTACAAAATAGTTCTAATCAAACAATAGAAAACAATGGAATTTGCATGAAATTGTGCTATTTAGTATTACTAAGTTTCATGGTTATATTGTTTGCACTCTCTCTAACTCTAGCAAAGTGGGCTTATTTTATTTGATTCTAAATGTGGTATTTTTCATATTAACAGAAGAGTTGCAACTTTCACATGAAGATTTAGAAGAAGTACTAACAACACCACAACAAAACATTGATGATGTTGCCGCTGCTGATGCCGCGAAGGAATTATTTGGGAACAACCTCATCCAGGAGATACAACAACACGAAGAGCTGGATTGGGATGATATCATATCTTCTGGCTCCAACCTCAACTTAGATCCAGCACTTACTAATTCTATGACATCTACCATAAATGGTCTGAATTTACAAGCACCTCCGATAACAACAACTACCGTTGAACTGGAGAATTCGGCTCATTATTTTTTGAATGGCGATGTCCGTCATGATTTTGATAATACAAATTACACCACCAATTATTATACCCCTCAGCCGCAACAAATGACTCATTTAGGCACTGGGTTTTAATACAAAAGTGTTATTTTAGCAAGAAAAAATGTTTTACTAGGTTAGAGTTTAATAGAGATAATATGACGATCAAATGCCCCAAATTTATACTTTTTAAGAGATTTATCTCCCTGTTCATATCAATATAGTGCTCGTATTCGCAATCTGGTCTTAGTTCCGGGAGTATACGAGAAACTTATCTGACTTTATTATAAATATAAGTCTATTATTAGAGTCTGCAAGTGCTGGGGGAGAGCCATTTCTCAAATTTCATAAGGACTGCTTTAGTTCAACAGAGAAGCTATGTATTTGAATCAAAATGGAATCATCTGAACCATTATAACGTGTAAATTATTTCTTTTAAGATTAACCATCCTAATCTAGTGTTCATCGTTTGGGAATTTATTTCCTAGAAAGAAATTTTTAAGTGAAATATTTTTAGCTTATATAGAAAAAATTTAAATAGATCCTGCTTACATTGGCCATAGCAAGATTGTAAAAAGTTCATATCTCGTATAAATAGATCATAAAATGGTTTAAATTCCTACAGATTTAAATCAGGGTAGTATACAATCTATATAAGCTAGAAATTTATTCCATAAAATGTGTCCCTTGACATATAAATTTTCACCAAATAATAAGCAGGTTGAAGTTAGAATAGTTGTGATAGAATAGATCTTGACAAAAGGGACCATGTGTTAGGCCAACATGCAATAATTGCCCTCCGAGCACAGCTCTTTTCCAGCCATTATCAATACTGGTTGGCAAATATGCTTCCTGCTGGAGGGGTAATACAACTTGTAAATACTGGACATATACAGCAATAATATTGATTTTTATACTTGCCAAAAAACTGTTTCACTTCCATCTTTCTTCACATGTAGGGGAAATGTTTTTAATTATTGCAACTGATGTGGGTAATGATTGACAGATTGAAATGAGTCGGCTCGTTCTTGGCATTATGATTATCTTATGTAGACATTACATTGTAACTAGAATCAATCAATCATGTATAATCGGCTCCTTGTATGCTGTATATACTATTGCACTGAATATAAAGTAAAGCCATGTTTATAGACAACTGCTGAATAAAGACTGGTAAAACCAGGAATCATACTCACATTCTTTGTTGTACATTATGACTAACAATGGTATTGTTAAACTGGGTGGGAACCCTGTGGTGCTTAAAGCACAGGCAACCCAAACAAGACATTAAACACACAAGGGAAAAAAGGCTAGCAAAGAAGCAGAAAAAATCCACATTAGAAAATAATAATGGCAGGTCCTTGTATAGGCTATATAAGAACCTGCCATGTGCATTTATACATTATACATCTCAAAGCTCTTTACATTTTTATGACCAGTGGAGAATTTTACAAGTGAAAATATTATTTGGCAAAAGCAAGCTTATCATATTTGCAGAGTATATTTTTTAGAGCATGTTGAATCATACTTTAACAGGATGTCTTCTTGTCTCACTATCACATACATTTTTTCCAGGGTTCGTACTGCTCCTGGAATTCCTGGAATCTTTGAAATACCTTCCAGGGTCCTGCAAAACCCCTTAAAAAATTTATTTTGCCACCAACTCCCGGAAAACTCCTTGAAATGTTTAGTACAGTGTGTTAATTATTTGTAAAAATTAAAGTTGTTGTAAAGGAAACCTGTTGTACTATTTCTGACATGAAGTTTCAAAGTGTGCTGGTATTTTAATATTTTCCCCTGGAAAAGTGTTGTAATTTTATAAGCTCCTATAGATGGTTTTTAACCATTCCCAAGAGAATTAAATAACAAAAGACATGGTGGCCATGTTGGAGGATATAACAAAAGAATTCATTGACAATTCTTTTGTTAAGTTCCCCCAACATGGCCACCGTGAAAACCATCAATAGTATGAACTCCGAGTATTAAGAACTCTGTTTTTCTCTTTTCTGACAAAACATTTTAAACATTTTGTCATATTTTATGAAGATGGTTTATTGTAATGATTCTGGGTACTATGACTAGGTGATACAAACATTGTTTTTGTATAATTTTGGTAGAAAATAGAAAAGTTGTAGAATTAAGAAAAATTTCAGTCCATTATGAAAAAAAAAATTTTTTGAAAAAGATATTATGTAATAGAAAAACCATTATTTCATCATTATTGATACAAGATATATAAAATGGCTTTAACAATTTTTTCCCTCATAATTATAAAAGGTAATTTTAAATATATATTTTTTAAGACATTGAGTAGGATTTATTAGTCCTTTCCTATATTGACCTATCACTTTTTATGGTTTCCATTTTTATATTTTAAGGGGTTTTAAGGATGACAGAAAAAGAGAGAACCAGACAACCAAAACAAATTTTTCCAAACCTCAAGGGAGACTTTGTTCACATAATGCAAAGTCCCAGAGACGCAGGAGTTAGAGGGAAATCTTCTAGCATATACTACCAGCTGCAGATCCAGGGGGGTGGGGGTGGGGGGACAAAGGGGGGCTGTAGCCCTTCCTTCAGAACATTGGTTATGTTTCTTGAAGTGGAATAAAAAGCATATTTCTTAGTATCATTAATTTGTTCTCTGTCCCTGGGCTAGCCTGAGTGCAGACCGACTTTAACTACCATTAAGAGTTGAATTCGGTTTGCATGTGGGCTACCCCTAGCCACCCTTGACTTGTAAGTATAAATCAACATTCTTTTATGTGAATGATTTAAGCTAAGATAAAATTCCCTAGCGAAACAGCTGCTGATGAAATCCTCTGTAAGTAGCTTTGGAAAAAGGAATAGAAAGTTGGCATAGGATGGCATGCGCTGGATGATGGAAAGCAAATATTTCTGTGTACTCCATGTCTCTGAAACGGCCAAGCAATACCAAAGAAAATGAGGCATGGGATTTATAGAGGGTCATTGAAAAGGGGCCTTTTTTTTACAACAATGAAAAGGTGGGGTCAGATTTTTGAAGTGAATCCCACCATCCTCCACCCCCCCCTCCCCCAATAAAAACTTAACGGTCCCTTAAGCAGCATTCCAATTATCTATAAAAATTCTAAGCTACACTCTTGCTTTATACTTGCCACCTCCAAAGAAGTGTTTTACTACATTTACCTGTACAAGTGCAACACCTATCAGAGCTACTGACTGTATCAACGACCACCAAAATACCCTGTTTAAGTTACTTGTTGCCATCTTGAAATCCCGTGCTTCTGTTGACCTGAGAAAGTTCTGAATGTGGTCCACTCTTTCCAGGTTAGCTCTGATCTTAATAAGAGCTTCCTAAGTATGCAAAAAGGCAAGGTTATAGTAGTTTTTTTATAAAATTAATACTGTAATTGCCCTGGAACTACACAATATAATAATAATAATAATAATAATAATAATAACTTTATTAATGTCTCTAATCTTCTAGCCGGGCACAAGTGCCCTACTAATCGGGGAGACAATATAATATACAATATAATATACCCTCCTCACTCCTCGAAAATCCCAATCCCCTCCATGGGGGAGGTATGGATATTTTTTGGAATTACACGATATACTCTTCGCAGACCCTCCCCACCCCTTGGAAATTTCAATCACATTTTATGGGGTAGGTATGGATATATTTTGGCACTACTTAATATACCCTCCTCAGGTTCTCCCTAGTACTTGGAAATTCCATTCCACTTTATGAGGGAGGTATGTTTTTTTGGGACTACACAATATATTAAATTTTTTCTCATATCCTTAATTATAATGTACTCTTATTGTATAGAACGGTCTGAACCCAGGTGAATGAATGTTAATCGAAGTATTATGATCATCAGGGTGGATGTAGTCCTGAGAAGGACCGTTTGATGTGACTGACATTTCGACAACCTGAAGATGACTTCCGCTCAGGATGTTGAAACGTCAATCACACCTAACAGTCCTTCTCAGGACTACATCCACCCTGATGATCATAATACTTCGATTAACGACAATGTACACACAAACCTACCACAATTGTCTCTGTTTCAAGCCCGTCTAATGTATCCTTTAGTCCTCGTGTAGTTATCTCATTATCGTCATCATCATCATCATTAAAATCTACCCCAAGATCAGCAAAGACAGTTCTTGATGAAAGAGAACTAAATGAATTGTCAAAACAGAACTCATAGACTCCATCCTCGGGAGTAATAATGTTGTGAGTTTCGTCTGATTTCTGAACATCTTCCAATAAAATTTTTCCATTTGGTTGCTTTAGATAGAAGTTTATGTCTAGCTCTCCACCTTCTACAACCTGGTTTGAGAAAAAATAGTAGAAATAATCTGCTTATTAATAATTAATATCTAGAAAAATGTTACCCAAACATTGTAAAAACACTGAAAGCAAAGTTTAAAAAACTTTAACAAAAAGGACAAGTTTTTAAAAAGAAAATCAAATACATAATAATTTGATAAAGGAGCGTATTAATGTATAATAAAGACATTTGAAAAAGTTTGCATGTTTAAAGTTAGAAAATATTGAAGTTAGTTTTCCAGATTATTTTTCAAAAATATCATTGGTTTATTCTGCATGTTAGTTTACCTGATACTCAACATCTAAGCTAACATTACTCTTGATCTCTTCGAAGAAACATTCCTTATTACCGGCTTCCACTTTAATCGTGAATCCACTCTTCAATGCTTCGCTTGTTGGCAAAATAACAACTTGAATGAAAAACAGAAACAACAAGAACCAAGCCATTTTGAATGAGCTACGTAAAAAATCCATTTTGACACAAAAACGCGGTCTTTCTAGCAATAAAGCTCAGTAGATACGATCATTTACGATTTATAAAGTCAATAATGGTAAAGTAAGGATTGTGTTTGGTATAAATTAGGCGAGAAATCCAGGGGAAAAAGAAAACTTTGCAGCTTCTTGTCGCCTTGTGTATTGGAATTCCCTGGTGATATTACCCAGAATGCTTTGCGGATTGATGGCACCAAGACCGGAAGGCGCGCAAATGCTGAAACAGGAAAAACAGAAAAACCTGTTTTGGTTGAATGACTCGTCAAATTACGTGCAAAATAATTCAAAATTGGGTACATTTTGATAACGAGTAATTTGGAAAAAGTCGAGAATTACAGATTAATTTTTTTCCAGAAATTTGGAATCTTAGGGAATGGAATACTAGTAATGGCCGCAAATGCTTCGCGCTGCCATCATGAGCTTCCCGAGCTCTGGGCCTTGACCCATTATTCTACCAATACCCCCCCCCTCCTCTCCAAATAGCTTAACAATGTACTGCTTAGTAATCTGTTGGAAATCACGGCTGCTTCTTAGAGTGAAGTCATTTAACTCATGAAATAAAAAATACTAGTCACCGTGTAATTAGCAATTATTCGCCGAAGGCGAATAATCGTTTTAGCATATACCAACTTGTATACAGAGTAACTTATTTTTATATACAATAATTCAATAAAAACAAACAGAAACTTTTAGTTTGCGTGACAAATTCACGCAAAACTTTTAGCAAAGCTTTTAGGCCATACTTCGTTGCCTTTTTAGTATTGATAGTAATGGCATTTACTTTCATTTTTTTCAATTTCCTCGGAAATTGTAGCAAAACGATTGCCGGCAGATGCCATTTTGTTGCCGACTCAATATCCCGAGATTCAGAGGGGAATATCGTACAGTATTTACGTCCAATCAACCAATGAGCGCACGCATTCTTATAGGAAGTGCACAAGTTGCTATATGCTAATAGTCAAATAGACACAAAAGAAAACAATGGAATTAAGGTCTACTCAAGTGTATTAGTCTAACATCTATTGCACGGGTTAAATGCCTTCACTCTAATGCAAGTCTCAATGAAGTCAAATGGCAAAATAATCCATGACCAAAAGCCGGTTTTTGCAGGGTTATTTAGTAAACACAAATCTTTCAGGCGCAACAATTTTTTCTTCACTTTATTGTGAAAAAGATGAAAATATACAAACTAATGATTTGAAATTCACGAATGAATTCTGTACAAAATGATTAATTTCGATTTCATTTAAAAATTGTCATCATTCAAAAACTTGAATTATTTATTGTCCTTTCAATACTCCACGAAGCTGTAAGGCAGAATAATTAACACTGCCTAAGGAGTCAACCCAGAACAGTGAATTAAGGATTACGCATGCGCATCCTTTGAACGCGTGCAGTAAGAACGGCAATCTCGTACCCAGCCTTATTTCTTACTGCGCATGCTCGACGAAAGAGTTATTTCATCGAGCATGCGCAATGAGAAATAAGGGCTCGGGGTACGAGATTGTAAGAACGGGTAAAATGGCTAGTGCATTGGAATGACTTGCACTATTATTTATCGCGTGTGACTGAATGACTTCAGCTATGTCCATTTGCTATCCAGGGCCCGTTGGTACGAAGGGTGGATAGCGCTATCAAACGGGTAAATCCTTATCCAGATACGTCGATACCGTTAACCAGCAAATCTATGCGCTGCCGACGGATAGCGCTATTCAAACCTTCGTACAACCGGGCCCAATAACAGAATTCTGGATCCTGGGGAACCTAGGGGTAAAATTCTGTCGCTCATTCCCAGGACGCATCTGAGCGTCACTTCATCACTTGACTACGAAAGTTCATCACATCCATGTCAATTTCTTGTTGCCAAGAGTTTGCTAGGTGTTATTAATTAGTTGTCACGGATGGAGAATGACTTGTAGTGCCACACAGTGATGGTGCTTTAGTGTTTATGACGTCTGAAACACCGTTAACACTACTCACGTCTTCATAAGGTGCAGTGGAATCCGTACACTTTATATTTTGTGTAGAATCTATACTATTTAACGTAGGTTGTAGGAAAACCCCATTACGATATGATGCGATTTTCTGATCCTCGTCCTCAACAGTTAGTTTATTCGCATGAGGGAGATGATCGCTTGTAGTTGGTGAACGTGTGACTGTAGAAGTTGAAGTTTGTTTAGCAATATTTTGGGTACTTGTTTCCGTAGCGTAGCTTTTTGATGGGTCATTTCCAGACACATTTACCGGTTTAGAGATCTTTGCAACTTCATAATTACTTGACGGTGTATTAGGATTACTCGTAGGTCCATTTTTTATCCAACTATTGCTTTCTTTTGTACTGTCTAGTCTTGTTTTTTGATCAGAATGACATGACTCCTGACCATTTTCTAACGCGCTAACGCTACCAGTTTGACCACTGGTAGATGTTGAGTCACTGACTTTGGTAGACAGTGCGATGGGTAAGGTTTTTGGTAGAGATTCTGCATTATTTTGTGCACTGGAACATGTTGTTGTCGTCTCTATATTTTTTATACCATCTCTGCCATCTTGTATAGTGCTTGAGCTGGTTAAGTTTTTAGGGCAAACTGACCCAGGGACATTTATGATCGTAGATTTTTGAGAAGTACTTGCAAAACTTGAACAAGGCTCTGTAGCACTATTAAGAAGTGACACATTAGGATTGTCTGGAGCATTGGAGCTGTAATTGGTTGGATTACCATTACTAGGCTGTGCAGTACTTGTTACAACACTTGAACGAGGCTGTAGAGAATTAGATCCAAGTGACATACTAACTGACCCAGAGACACTAGCGCTAGTAGTAGTGGACGACGTTGCAACATTAGAACGGGGTTGTGCGGTGCTAACTGTGGTGCCAAGGTGAGGCTGCGTGGTGCTGGAACCCACTAAATTATTTTGAGCAACCGACGCTGGGACATTAGCAAGAGTAGCTATAGACGAAGATGTAACGCCAGAATCAGGCTGTTTAGTGGTAATTGTAACACTTGGACGAGGCTGTGTTGTTACAGTTGGTACCCTGGGACGAGGCTGTGTGGTGGTAGTTGTAACACCTATACGAGGCTGTGTTGCTACAGCTGGTACACTGGAACGAGGCAGTGGGGTAGTAGTTGCAACACTTGTGCAAGACTGTGTTACCACAGTTGGTACACTAGGACGAGGCTGCGTGGTGGTAGTTGTAACACCTATACGAGGCTGTGTTGCTACAGTTGGCAAACTGGGACGAGGCTGTGTGGTGGTAGTTGTAACACCTGTTCGAGGCTGTGTTGCCACAGTTGGTACGCTAGGACGAGGCTGTGTGGCGGTAGTTGTAACAACTGGGCGAACCTGTGTGGCTAAAATTGGCACACTGGGACGAGGCTGTGTGGTGGTAGTTGTAACATCTGCGCGAGGCTGTGTTGCTACAGTTGGCACACTGGGACGAGGCTGTGTGGTAGTAATTGTAACATTTGCACGAGGCGGAGTGGTGCTAGTTGCAAAACCAGGATGAAGCTGTGTGATATTTCCAACACCAGGACGAGGCTGTGAACCAGGCAATGTACCGGCAACACTAGTATTCTGTCCCTTTCCTGTAACGATTGCTTGAGAAACTACATTTGCTATTTTCCCTGCAGCTACCACTTGTTGCTGCTTCTGCTGCGTGGGAACGCTTGGCTGTTTTACAGGACCACTAGTCTGTTTTCTCAATGCAGAACTTATAACAGCATTGACTTCTTCAGGTGTTCCTGGAGGGACTACCACAGCATACCCATAAATGCTTTGGCCACCCGTTGTTGTTAATGTTTGAGGTTTAAAGCTTGCTAAAGGGCTTTTTGCATCGACGGATGAAGCAGGAATAAAGACTACCTTGGTTTGACCTGGTGTCTGTTTAGATGTTTGGGTTTTAACAGCTATGGGGGCAGCTCCCTTTGGCATTACAGCAGGCTTAGATAAGGCTGACGCTGATAACTGAGAGGAAGAGACTTGAGCGCTGGTAACAGATGTCTTGGGATGTGACAACACACGTGATGGAGTTATTCCTTGTGGTGCCTTAGGTGCCGTCACCTTGACTACACTTTGTCCAGATACTGCTTCTGCTTTAGCTGTTGCATTCAATCCTGCAACGGGCTTTGCAATTGTGGTAGGAACGGCATATAGTGAGTTAACCGTCGCAATGTTGGTCTGTTTGGAATTGGGAATAAGTTGAACCATTTTTATGGTGCTGGTGGTGGTGGTAGTAGTGGGGACGACAACACCCAGGCTTTTAGGAATCTGTCGTGGGCCTTGGTTGACTGAAGTACTCGATACAGCGTACGTATGGTTATTCGACAAAGCAGATGTTGGTTTTAGCACTCTACCTTGTACTGGGTTACCTGTAGTTACCTGTGTAACCACGCCCGGTTTTCCAAGTACCTGTTTTCGACTGTGAGAGAGAATGATTGGCCTTTGATGGCTTCCAGTAGTTGAGGCACTAGCTATTGGTTGCAAACCAGTAGATAGAGTCACCCTGTTCTGCGACACCATTCCTAGTGTCCTGGAAATAGTAATAGGTGTGGCACTAACACTCCTATTGGTAACCTCCCCTTTGACACTAGTAACAATCTGCACAGCGGTTTTCCGTTGTATAGGTGGATGTACTGATGGTGTTATTGATGGTGATGTTGTGGACGTCACACACTTAACTTCATGTGCTTTTCCTTCTGGGGAAACTAAAATACGTTTGCGCAGATTTTGAGCTTGAAGAGACAACGGACTGACTTTGGAGGTCACATCAGTGGTCGTCGATCCTTGGACAGAACTGTCTTTAACATCAATCACACTTGATTCAACAACTGGATTTTGAGCCCGATTAGGACTAGGTGTCTTGGCTCGCTTTAGTGCCTCACCTAAAGAGTTGACCAGGATCATCTTAGGCGAAAGACTTTGTGTTCCATAAGCTGACTCTGTACTCAGCTTCTTCATAACAGAGACTTCTTCCTTAGGCATGGTTGCCGCTTTTACACTCTCCTCAGCTGAAACAGCAGAGATCACAACTGATGGAGACGACGTAGACTTAGGCAACACAGTTTCTTTGGTGGGGCTCCATTTTTTCGCTTTCTTTTTCATTCTTGGATTGGGTGTCTGGAGCCCAATAGTACAGTTCTCACGATTCAAAGCCTCCACATTGTCATCTGTCTTTGAGGATTTGCGCTTTCTTTTATAACGAGGTGAGCCTCTCTGCGTGGCTTCAATGGATCCATTTTCTGATTCACCACTGATCGACTGTACCTCGTCAAGTTTTGGCTGTAAGTCCTCCAGGGTTGAGTTGTTGCCATACTCTTCTATCTTAAAGTCTTCGTCCTTTGCATCAAGTTTGGCACCATCGTCTTCATCACTCAGTTCACTTCCCCATTCCTCCATGGGCTCTGGTTCTGGGGTTTCCTCTATGGAAAGAAAGGCAGAGAATGATTAAATACATGGGAGGATGTATGAGAGGCTGGATGGATGGTTAGGTGGGTCGATGGAGGGTGATAGGTTGAATGGATGGGAGAATGGTTGGACAGACAGACGGATGGATGGGTAGTTGTCTGGATGGATCAATAAATGGATGGGTTAATAGACTCAAACCCTAATGACGTTTTATACCTAAACAACCACAATCTTTTTCAAAATCTCTTTTCTTATTCAAACGTTAAAACCCCCTTTAGAATACCAAGGCAATAGTGAAAATTAGCATAATAAAAAAGCTACCGAAAGGGATTTTGGAAGTGTAGGTACGACAAGTCATCATGCTCAAGGCATATTTGATAACTGGAATGGCCGATGGGAAGAATGGAATAACAGGGGTATAGAAGGGTATAAAAGATGGATGGATGGATGAATGGGACAAACTACACCAACTGCTTACCTGGTTCCTCCACAGCTTCAGGTTCCAAGCTTTCTTTCATAATCTTGATTCTTGCTTTAGTATAATTCCTAGAGAATGCCCCTTCATACTTCTCGAGCTCTTGTAACAACGCCATCAGTGTCTCATGTAGTTCAATCTCACATCGTTTTCTAGGGGGAGGGACCTTGGGTCTTCTACCTCTCTTCTTAGGGGGGGTGGGAGGTTCAGCAAATCGTTCAGCTAGAGCCTTGAGGGTTTCAATATCATGACAGGCTAGTTTAAACCCATCTTCAGCCTCAAATGCTGGTAGTGGATCTGGTTTGGATTCAGTTTGGTCTGCATCTTCTGGTTCTGGATCGGGTGGGGTTTCTTCTTTGACTTTATCTTCTTCCATAGGAGAGTCACTTCTCAGCTAAAAAAATAAGTAAATGTAATGAAAGTCAAATTTAAAAGTGACGATCATTGAGGATTTGATTGAGTGGGGGAAATATAACATACTAGTAATTTCCTCTATCTATTTAGTCCCCAGCCTCTAATAAGCCCCCCTTCAATCAATCAATCAATCAATCGATCAATCTTTATTTAGTACTAAAATTCCATATACTAAACAACAAAAATACAGAAAATTGGTATAAACCAGATGTAGCAGTCATAGGCTAAATGATACACTTGGCAAATTATAAGATTACATTAACATATGTTTTGGTCAATAGAAGTACATAAAGAAAGAAAAAGGAGAGAAAAAAAGAAAAGGAAGAAGTCCACCATCCTTCTAATAAGTCCCCAGTCCAAAATTACTGAAAACAATAAGCTCTCATGGGACTTAATAGAGAAAATGAGGTATTCTGAAATCTAAAATGGTTTATTCTTTTAAAGCCTTGAATTTACCAAAAAACCCGAGAACCCCAAACAAAAATATAATATTTTATCCAGTGTAATATCATCTCATGGTACCTATGACATACATGCAGAGGTTTTGTGAATTACCTGTCGTAGTCTTGAAGGCCTTGCCGGTCTAGATGGCGTAGAAGGTTTTGATGGTGTTTTCTTGGCCTTTTTTCTTTCAGGGGCTGGTGGTGGAGGGGGAGATGGCTCCTACGAACGCAAGAAAAAAAAAACCCAGTTGAATGCATATGCACATACCGTGATACCTCTATTCAGTGAACACCCTTTATTTTTTGGACATCAGGCAAGGTCCTAAAGATGTCCACTTAACAGGTACCATTGTATACATCTATTTCAAAAAACTTTGTTGGTTGGATATCTGAAATCAGAAATCTGAGGCCAATTGGAATTGTGGGGGACTGAGTGTGTTCTCGTTAAAAATTCAATATACATTAACCCAGATAGTTTGCCAGCACAGGTCATCACTCAAAGTTAGTATATCAAGATGTTAACTTCTTGCGAACAACTTATTAAAACCACAAACAATTTACAGCTTACAACTCAGTCTCAGATTTCAGATCTCCGACTGACAACGTTTTTGAAATAGGTGTATGCAGTCATTCTATATGTAGATTAAAAATAGGCTTATTTGGTTTGGGCTTAATATTTTCCATTTCAGGCCAGGTATTATTTCCCTTGAGAAAAAGACAGCTTGTTGGAGTCTCTTTCATATCTTTATGTCAGTATTTTCTCAAGCATCACTGGTAAACAAACAAATAATACTCAAGGGAATGACATGTGATCTGAAATGAGAAAACACTACACATTATGTAATGACAAAAAAAGACAATGGATATATAATATTATAGATACTCTAGTCTAAAATGGTATTTTGACCAATCAGGGTGCACAGTACATCTCAATTTTATAAAAAATACTCTTAACGCACAACATACTGTTTACCCCACCTTTTTAGTTTTGATATTTAACTTAGGCACTTCAAGTTGGTCATGCTGGTAAACACGAACATCAGTGGTTTGAAATATAGGGAAATAAATATATGAATGATTATCTGCATCAGTGCCGAGGAAGAGGTCTCTCTGCTCCATGAAGTCACAGGAATTCACCTTCTCACGGATGTCATAATCTTTGTGCTGAAAAATAAAAAGAATAAATTTTAAAAAACGAAGAGAAATCTGGCTTACTCATTCCCTGCTAGAAAAAAATGCTAACCAAAAATAACCCTAACTACTTTCAGAGAATGTGGTCAACTCAGTTTGGCGCTAGCCATCATGTGGTATAAATCGTCTTGCGTAAGTAATAATATAATAAATAATAATATTTATTTATAAAGCGCAAATACAAATCTGTTCTAAGCGCTAGTAAACAAACGACAAAGACAACGACAAAATAAAAT